TTAATGCATTCCCTCCTGGTGTCGATCGACATTGGCTGCAGATCTAATCGCCATAATCGAACCTTCTCCTCTCTGGTTCGATTCTATCCTGCACCATGTCGATTTCTGCAAAGACAACATCAACCAAACACACAAAAACAACACGTATACACAAAGAAAAATCCTTCAAACCAATCAATCATCCATTCCACACAAACATCAACTTATCATAACAATCCATCCACCCAGATAAGTCATGGTCGCGTACTCATCTTGATTTTCGATTGGAACAAGACAAGGACAATTTTCGATTGTGTATGGTGCTACTTTTTTAGGAGTAGAGCGAGTAGGTTTTCAAATATTGGAAATGTTGATCTCAAGTAAATGGAATAAATTACATTAATAATAAGTTTTTGAAATTCTTCACTAATGACATCATAATGTAAATGCAATATACAATATTTGTAATTGATGGAATGATTAATAAATAAATTTAGTAATCAGCCACAATTAACATGTTTATTGACACTGAAATTTTTACATATATTTAGAATATTATAAATTGGTTACTCGAAAAGACGCCACTTATGATATATTGATAACAATAAAACATTTTTAAAAAGACATAATCCTTGGAAATAACCATAACACTTTTTTATCGAAAAGACGCCACGTTTGAAAATAATCAAATTATTTTGATAAAAAATGGTAAAGAATCAAAGAGAAGTCAATATTAACCAAAAAAAAAAAAAATCTTAAAAACTAAGATAGTGGTTGGTTTTGGGGGTTCTGGCATACGACCATATCGCAAAATTTTGCATTAATTTAAATTATTTAACAATATAACATATAATTTTGAATGGATATTACGTAAGTTTGTTATAGAACGATGCTAAATCATATATGAAAAATGTACTTTAGTACCCAAAGATTTCTAAAAAAAATTAATAACTAAAACATTTCTCCACACAAAATTAAATGTTTCTTAATTGAAATAAGTAATTGGTTTGTGTTGAGTGTAAATGTTCAAATTACAATTTTAAAATACATTTTTTTTGTAACTATTGTCCCGCGCAACGCGCGGATACCTGCCTAGTTACAATTAATAACTTTATTTGTATTTTAGTTCCAAATCCGAATCAAACTGAAATTTTTTAGACCGAACCAAAACTTACATTGGTTCTTGTTCAAATCCCTTTATTAAATTTTTTTTTGAATTACGTTTTAACAAAAGAAAAAGAAAACATAACTGAATGTCGAAAGGGAAAATTTGCCATTAATACAACAAAAAAATTATAATTTACAAACTAACCAAAAAATTTAAATCTAAAGACCTAAATTGTGCCACATACCCTTTTTCCAAATTTTTAATTTTTTTTTGTTTGGTTATTTATTAAAAGGCAAAGCAAACACATTGCATTTCTTAATTTAAAGATAAAAAAAAAAATTCTCCCGGATCTAAATTGGAGGGAAATGCGACGTTACAATTAGCCAAAAAAATAAAAAAATGACGATTTTGTCCTTATATATACAATTATCGTCATTACTCGAAAATATTTATTCCTCGATTCGCGCATGTATCTGAGTAATAAAGCAAGGTCCCAAAAAATATTAAAAACCCTTTCATCTTCTTCTTCTCCTCTCTGCATAAGCATAAAATCTAATAAACCCTTGATCGCTCTAAGTCCGTCTCTTCCGATTCTACAATGCCAATCTCCGGTCAAGCTTAAACGGTGGCTCCTTCATACTCCGCCGTAGGATTCGTCCCCTCTTTCTCTCCTTTTCCGTCTGATTCGGCTTGGGCTTCTTCCCTGATTTCAAAATTTCCCGGTACGGCCATATGCTCCGTTTCGTTTCTTCTGATTAGGGTTTCGAATTTCTTACTTTTCCCGTCGATTGATCTGATTTCGAATCTTACGAGTGCTTATTGTTTGCCTGAGTTTTTTTTTTTTTTTAATTTCGTTGTGATGATGACCGGATTTTTGGCCGTAGGGTTCTCTGTTAACTCTGCAAAGATAAAGGAAGGTATATGGCCAAAATCTGACAACATTATGTCCAAACGTAATGGGATGTCTGAAACCAAAGTAGAGATTACCAAGGGTTGTGGTTTTGACTTGAACGAGTGTCCAAATGTGGAGCTGATGGAGCAAGCTGATGAATCTGGTCTCAAGGCCGAGCTTGAAACTGACAGCTTGGTGAACGATGGGATTGATAGAGCTCCAAACGGCGGTAACATGAAGAATGTAACCGGATTGAATAGTAAGAAAACGGTGAAGCTTAAGCCGCCTAATCGTGAAGTTCTCATTACCCGGAGGGTTCTGCGCTCAGGCTCTGTGGCAAGTGATCAAGTAAAGAGTGATAAACATCACAGGGATGTGGAAAAGAAAAGAAAGGTTTCTCATAAGGGAGATATGAGTAAAGGTGACAACATGGGAAAAGTTAGTTCCATAAGTTCTGTTGTTGATGTGAAAGAAGAAGTAGAACATGAGCATGTGAAATCTCTTGTACCTAAGGAGACTCATGGAGATGGGTTTAAAAGTCTGATAAAAGTGGATTATAAGGATGACAAATCAGATGATGAAAAAGAATTGAAATTTAAACGCAAAAGAGGAAGGCCTCCAAAGTCGCAGAGCTGCAGTCAGTCTGATGATAAGGAGGTGAAACTTATTGGCGGAAGCTGCTTTGGGAAGGAGAAAACAGAAGTAAAACTTGAGGATCGGCAAGCTGCTGAAGTTAACAAGATGATTCTTGGGGCTGATGATATTAGGAGTCAGGTTAAAGTTGAAATTAAGGATGATAGATCATATGATGAAAATGGGAATGTTGAGCCACATGGTGAAGAGCCAAAAGCTAAGCGCAAGCGGGGAAGGCCCAGAAAGTGTCACCCTGATGAGAGCGGTTCTAACACAAACTGTAAACTTGTGAGAACTCCAGATTTAAGCAGCCAGTCTAGTCTTGACAGACTTAGTTTGAAACCTCAGCGTGGTAGACCTCCAAAGACCAAGGAGACGGCTGTTGCTCTTTACGTAGAAAAGGAGAACATCAACCGTAGGTATGAGAGTACCCTAATAACGCTGGACCAGAGTATGACTGACTCTATTGATGAATCAAGTAGACCAAAAAGTAACTATGGAGGCAGGGCTAAGGGACTTGAATCTGATGGAGGCAGTTGCAGGGGAAGGAAGATGCTACGTAAGCGTGGAAGGCCTCCAACACCGCAGAAGGAAAGGAACTCTTGGGGGGCAGATGAATCAGGTGGTAAAGCGAAGAAGAGACTGAAACTTCGTGAGAGTTCCTTGGAGTCACGGCACAACAATCCTTTAACTGATGGAGAAAAAGAAAATAAGCAGAATGAAGCTGAAAAACAATCTAAGTCAAAATCTAAGAAAATGCTGAGTGACCGGATTCTGCAGTTACTTCTAGCTGCTGGTTGGAGAGTTGAATACAGGCCCCGAAACGGGAGAGCATATCGAGATGCTGTTTATGTTAATCCTGAGGGAAAGACTCACTGGTCAGTGACCAAGGCTTATAGCGTTTATAAAGAACAATTGGAAAGCAGCATGAATGATCAAAAGAACTCTACCACTGGTTCTGGTTTTGGCTTGCTACCAGAAGAGGACCTTCACCTATTATGGAGAAAAACTCAGAAAAAAAGGTGTGATACAGGTAAGCGAAGGGCAAACTGGAAGGACAGAGATGCTAATGAAAACATGGTCTCAACAAAGGGAAACGGGAAGCGTACACTACATGGAAAAAAAGTGTGGAAGGAAAAAAACCGAATGCAGAAGAAACGAAAAGGGAGTCATGGGTCGCACAACTTAGAAAGAATTTCGGTTTCAGTCAGAAAAATAAAGAGAGAAGAAAAACATAATAGATGTGGTCTGTCGGCTCGCAGTTCTTTGGATAATGCGGAGGAGAATGGGTACATTTTATTTGAAGGGAAACGCACCATGCTGGGTTGGATGATTGATTCCGCCATTGTGCCACTTAACGGGAAAGTTCAGTGCATGAACTGCGAAAAGACACAAGTGCTTCTAGAAGGAATAATTACAAAAGACGGTATTCGATGCAACTGCTGTGATGAAGTATTCTCTGCTCTCGATTTTGAGGTTCATGCTGGAGCAAAGCACGACCCACCATTCAAAAGTCTGTATTTAGAGGGTGGGAATTCTCTCTTGCGGTGCTTTCTTGAGTCTTGGAATAAACAAAGCGAATCACAGCTCAAAGGGTTCCACTTTGTGGATTTTGGTGTTGGGGATCCAAATGATGATACATGTGCTAATTGTGGGGATGGGGGAGATCTTATCTGCTGTGATGGGTGCCCATCAACCTTCCATCAGAGCTGCTTGGGGATTAAAGTAAGTTGCACCTTATGATGTGAATATTGATGCTTAAGAGAAGCAATGACTTTGTGTTTTTGGTCAAAAATCATTTTATTGTTAGAAATTGAGGAAAAATGTGGTAAAGAACGTAGGATGATAGACCAATTAAATTTTTTCGAATTAGCTATATTGTTGCAGTTTTTCTTCTTTTTTTTTTTAATGAAGAGGCTTATTGTTTCTGTTTCTTCTGTAAACTGCAGAAATTCCCTTCTGGTGCCTGGTTTTGTTGCTACTGCTCATGCAAATTTTGCGAGAAAGTTGAGGCAGATAATAATGACCCTACAACCCTTACCCCCTTATTGAGGTGCTGCCTATGTGAAGAGAAATGTATGAATTACACCTTAGAGGCATCTTAGCCATTAATCGTATTAATGTATATGCTCCTGTTAAACTTCTTAAAATAGTTTTTTAGGCTTTAAACATTACCATCCATACTTTTGCAGATCACCAAGAATGCATCAAGCAAGATAGCATGCTGAATGGTGAAAGGATTACTGATTCATTTTGTGGAAAGTATTGTCAAGAGGTAGGTAGCCTTCCTTTTTTCTCTTTATCACGGGGCTTTATCCCTTGAAATGCTGAGTCCACTTTGCAAAACTAAATTTCTTTGCATATTTAGTTTGTTTCTTTCCTTTTTTTTTTCCTAGTTATTTAAGGAACTTCAGTTACTCATTGGAGTAAAACACGCACTGCCTGAGGGCTTCTCCTGGACATTCCTTCGACGCTTTGAGCTCCCTCGTGAGGTTGCCGATTGTGACATATCTGAGAAGATTGCATATAATGCCAAACTGGCCGTTGCATTTTCTGTTATGGATGAGTGCTTCTCACCTTTAGTTGATCACAGGAGTGGTGACAACTTGCTTCAAAACATTGTTTATAATTTTGGGTGAGCTCATTCCCAAAACATGTGCTTACATGCTTCTGTTTTGTTCAATTAGTTAATTGGCAAGCCTTTTAGGGATCGTCTTCTGTGCATTACTTGTGGAACTTATTGTTTTCTTATGAGTGCATATTGTGACAACTTTACTCTGAAAAGAATTCTTGTAAATGTCTTTGTTGTTGTTATAAGGGGGTAACGTAAATTTTTCACCATTTGTTTTCCCCTTTCCTCTATATCACTTTTCATTATGCTACTAGATTATATTTAAAACTTTTCCTCTTGTTTTGTAGGTCAAACTTTCATCGGCTAAATTACAGCAGTTTTCTCACAGCTGTTTTGGAGAGGGGTGAAGAAATCATTGCTGTGGCATCTATCAGGTGTGTCTGTGGTATCATGACATTAACAGGGGTTTATAATTTCTAGTCTTTACCTAGTCTCGGAAGCCAATTTACATGACACAGTTCAAATTAGAGTAACTGTAGACCCGAAACTAGAAAACCACTTGGTATTAATATTTACGAGCACTGAAGTTAGTTATTAATTCCATTTGATTACTTAAGGGTTATCCTATAATCTGAATGAATACAATTATTCATGTTGAGTTTGTTAATAGCTTGGACGAAGTGTGATAGTGATATCAGTTGTCTCTTGCGCTGACTGAATGAGAGCTAGTGGTGAATTTACTCATCTATGTAGTGTGCATATCATAAATATTAAGCTTTCTACCACTTCAATTTTGTTTTTTGTAAACCTAAGGAGTTGTTAAGGAGTTACTGTCTTTCTAAGAAAAACAAATTCCCTTGGTAAATGCCTACACATGGTCTTAAATAATGTTAAACTGAAGCTCTATTGCTGGGTTCTCAATAATTTGTGGCTAGTAACTGTAGTGTTGTGTATATGAATTAGCTTTTCTTCCCGTGGAATGCCCAGTCAAGTGTATATTGAGACCAAGTATAAACAATTTTGATTTTTCTTTTACTCAGGATCCACGGCAATCAACTGGCAGAAATGCCTTTTATTGGAACCCGCTACATGTACAGGCGTCAAGGAATGTGTCGTCGACTAATGAGCGGCATTGAATCTGTAAGCCTTCCCCATCTTGTCATATCCTAATCTATTTTTTCTTTCTCTTTTGGCGATTATTTTTACTTTAAAAAGCTCTTGTTTATTGCTCTCAGTTGTTGCTTTATTAGATGTCTGTCAATTTTGTTACTGTACTGCTGGTTTTGGTCACAAGGACTATGCTGCTTTTAACCAGGATCTTTCAGACAGGTGCATTAAGAAATCTAGGAAATTGTGTTAGCATTTCCGTGTTCCTAATAAATATGATATACTAATGCTTGCTAGGTAAGTCACACCAAACCAAAAACATAGATTTTTGTAGATATCTGATCTAAATCACTTAAAGTGACACTTTGTAGGATTTCTTATATGACTCTGGATGGTTGATGAGAACTAGTCAAGTTTCTTTACAGTGTGCCATTATGTTATCAACTTTTTAGTTATCTAGAGATCTGAAAGGGGCCATATGCCAACGATTCACCTGCTATGTTCTAATCTCAGTCGCCGTTTCTGTTTGATTTACCCTTCATTATGTATATCCCGTAAATTCTTTTGTTCACAATTCTAAAGATCCATATTACATGTGCTTTGCTATCAGGCTCTCGGCTCTCTCAAAGTAGACAAATTAGTCATACCAGCAGTGCCAGAACTGATGGATACATGGACTTCAGGCTTCGGCTTCAGGCCTGTTCATGAATCTGCGAAAAAAGCAATTAAGAATCTGAACTTGCTGGTGTTCCCTGGTGTAGACATGCTGGAGAAATCATTGGTGAAGGAGAAGATCACTGAGTCAAATGTGTCCTCTTCCAATGGTACTAATTCAATTTGATTTGATTTACGCTCGTGGACACATATTTGCTTCTGTAGACTGACTAAACCTACTTCAGGTTATTCGCTGTTGGCACCTGAGAAGAGTATGCATGTAGATGTTGATGAAGATAAACCTGAGGAGTCTAAAGACAGTGCTGCTCATTGGCGAAATTGTGCAACTGCTGATGTCAAATCCCCTTCTTACCCAGTTGATAGCTGCTTGAAGTTAATGAATGTAGAAGAGAGAGAGAAAGATACGGAATCGAATCTGAAGTTACTTAACGGGTACTTGGAGGAGAAAGAAGAGATTGGGAAATTGACGGATAAAGAAGTTGATTCCCTTCCTGATGTAGTTGATAACCAAAGAGAATCTAACACAGGTATGGCTGATGGTTCGCGTGCGGATAAAGGTGATTCAAAAAGGCAGGAAAGTGATGATTTAGAAGATAAGACGCCACTATCTGATGACAGCGGTGCAGTTAAAGCTGAGGAGTCAGATGACCAACCTGATTGTTACATAGTAGAACATTCTGGAAATGGTGGTACAGAGAAAGAGATTAACAAGAAAAGTTTAGCGCGAAAGAAAGGAGTGGCTTCCAGAATTCGAGTATCACGCCGACTGATTCAAAGATCATGGGGAACAACGGGAGTGAACGCTTGACTCTCCACACCGGTGTGTTTGAGGTTCTTTGCGTAGACCGAGCTTTTGTTTTTTTTGTGTGGATATGACCAGAACTAACGGATTTTGTCTAAAGATGAGCAGCTCTTTGCTATTTCCGGGTGAAAACGGAAAGGCACAGATGAAGAAAGAGAAGTAGTTAGATTATCAGTGTTTAGTAGTTTCGTACTTGGATTATCAATGTTTTTTATTAGACCTTTATCTTATTTCTTTCTTCTCTCCATTTTGTAATTTCAAATATTGAGCTGCTTCATCTTATTTTATCTAATGTCTAAACATTTATCTGGCTTGTGATATTTCTTTACTCTAAACTTTCGAAATTCACCATAATTTTGGAATTCGAAATGGGGAAACGACAAATTCATGCCCAAACACTCGTACACGGTCCAATTCCAGTCCTGTACGAAGAACCAATGCGAATACATACATGTACATTTAATAAATTCAAAACTCATATCCAAATATTTGTATTTCGGCTTTTATATACATTGACCGTAACACCGTTAGTCAAAGTCTGATATCATATGTTATTTGGACAGAAGAGATCACCAATTTGGAAACTGTAAAGACAGACAATATTTTATGCATTGCCTTTGGAATCTAGCCGTTGAACCGAACCAATTGGAATCCGAATGTTTGCTTTTTCCGTTTTTAATATTTTTAAGGGAGGAAACTCGATTTTACCCTCTAATTTTGTTAACTAGATAAATATGGGATTTTAATTTTGAACTACTAACA